AGATCAATATGTGCTTGAAAGCTTGATGCCTCAACATGGGCTGAAACTCCAGTTGCAGCAGTGAGAGGTGTAGATCTGGATACAATCACCAATACAGGGATGGACCAAGAAGTGGATACAATATCCTGGATCAATGTTATTGGGCTCAACGCGTTTCGTCTTATGACTTTTTTGGGAGCTTGCTTCCGTCTTCTCACTTCAGCTTTTAAATATGCCAGCTGGTGTCCCGTAAGTGCGTTTGCGCATGTGCGGCGTTCTGCCTCCGTGGTGACATCACACCCAATGGCGTCCATCGAGCATGTGCGTTCAAGATTGGAACACAAACAAACTTTATTTGCCACTTGGAATTTGACAACCCCTCCAAGTCGCTTCTCCCAGTTTTTCATCTCCTCTAGTCTTTTCTAATATTTGTCTAAGAGGCCCCTAATTCTTGCAGGTGGTATAACTGCCCATTCGTCTTGGAAAAGTCTTTGGTCATGCCCTTCATACAGGCCCAGTGTGACAGAGATTGACTGTGAGCCCAGCAATATCAGGCAACTTCCCCTCCGCAATGCATCCCACCGTGGTTTCTCCAGGCTTGCCCGTCGCATGTGCAGCACCAATGCCAGCTTGGACTTTACCTTCCTCTTAGAGTGCCAATGCAGTCTCCGCCATCTCCGGTTCACACTGCCAATGGTGGGCTTCGACGTGGGATGCAGCAAGGAGAACTCACCAATTCTTGGCCAGCTTGTGGATAGGCAAGTTCAGTCTAGAGGTCAGTTTCTGCCAGAAAGTGTGAAAGATTGCACCTAGGTGTTCAAGGCATCTTTCTGATGTGTGCAGGGGGACACCAGGCATCTGCCATCTTGGACATACCGGGTGTATGATAGCTGAAGCCTGCAGTGCTATTTTCCATCTCTAAGACGGCTGGGAAACCTCCAGGGTGGGGACTGGAATCACCCCCACCAGTCCAGAGGGGGGAGTTGCGGGGCACCATCTTGATTCAGTCTGTGTCCTGTCTGTACCTTATCCACCGCACTAACCAGGCTGCACAGAGAATGTTGACTAAATGGCTGCCAGGGACTGTAAGGGACGCTCTCAGATCAGATAGTTGGCTCAGGGGACAAGGCTAATAGTGCCTGTCCCAGATTGTGGGTTTTGAGAGCAGTTTGCCAAGAATTAATTGTGGTTACAGGAGGAGGTCTCAAGAAACGCATCCTGTCTCCATTGCAGTCAGGCATGGCCCTTACTTATATATATTTTAATAGCCCCCTGTTCTTAGCTTCTATTCCATAATAACATTGGAATATATAATTTTTACCGTTTTTATAGGACATATATTTTTTATTAAAATTACTGAATGTCCTGTGCACTAGATCAAATTTGAAGTTGAATGAAGCCATGGATCATCAAGGATCAAAGATTGAACCTAAAAGGTTGCGTTGAAGATCCTGGTTTGTGAGGTCTGTGAGACTCCCACGTATCTCTTGTAGCATGCTGTTATGTTTCAAGAGAACGTGAAGGATGATGTTTGGCATAGAGCCTCCCTTGAGAAGGATGTTTCAATGCTTTCACCCTCGTCTTTATGCCTGTGAAATCTGCCCAGATGCTGATAATCTCATAGTGGTTTTGATTTTAAGAAGCACAGGGGCTAGGTTTGATATATTGGACATAGAGCTAGATATGGCTGTAAAGTCCACTTATGAAATCTAGAGTAATGTAATACCCAATATCAGATCTGGATGAGAGAGGCATCATGTTGGCAGCAGACATTGTGGTGTGCATAGTGCCATGTCAAATTTGGCATAAATTAGAATTCTATTTTGACACATGTATCCATTAAGATAAAATATTGGATTAACGTTCATTAAATTTTTCCCAATTTATCTATAGTCTTTTGTATTTTTATTCTGCCATAGCAAAATTGTAGAATAGAACTAAACAAAGTTGAAAACTAGTATAAAAAGATTTGGTCCATATAGGTGACATATGCTTCAAAACACCATTTGTCAATTGATTAATAAAGCACAGATTGCTAGAAGGGGATTAATGTTTCATTACTGAAAAGGATTCAGCAGCTTGATTCACCGCAGGATATTTCATTATAACCACTGGCATTTAAAACTAGCAGAGTATTTTGAACAGCTTTTCACAATAAATTAAATTTAGAACATATCACACAGTGCAACAATAATGGATCTATTTGAAAACAAGGCATATATTGTATAATAAAGTCAAGCAGACCTCAAAATTATAACAATAATAGTAATAATAACAATAAATATTAAACCCTGTTGAGCATCCCCTAAAATAAATATTTTTAGAATAAGTTGACAAACAATGAGGAAACTGTGGTATGATCAATCAATCTCAAATAGACACATTCATATTTACAGACACAGATAGAAAGATTTACTGACAGGTGCATACACTCACAGATACTGCCACAGCAACATACACACACTCTCATTCTTGAAAACAAAACTGGATTAAGATTGACCAGTACCCTAAGCAGGAAGTCATATTGGGGCCCCTTCTCAGTGCCCTGGGATCTATTTTGCCAGGGCTGTGTGATTGTGTGGTGGCTCAGTGTTGTATGTGTGTTGGGGAGATTTTGTGTTGTGTGTGTGGAGGAGACTATGAGTATGAATGTAGTTTTTGGGGGGACTATGCTGAGTCTTGTGTAGAGGTTGGAGAAGATTTTTCAATTACCTCCCTGCTTACTTTTTGTCAGAAAGGGTTATAATGCCTGATGGTCTGGTGAGGGAGCATATTTGATCTGCACCAATATTGGGTGCGGGTTACTTTAAGAGCTCCCAGGCAGTCTGGTTGTTCAGTTAATCACTCAGAGTGCTGGCTTTGGCTGTGTGAGAAACTCCAGATCCCCACCCGATAGAAGTGCATGTGCACTTTCCTAATTGAGGGGTATGCAGGGCTGAATAGGGAGATCATTTGATTTCCGTAACAGCTCAGGGAAGACAAAGCCAGAGCTGCACACCCAGATAGTTAATCACCAGACCCTTGTTTGAGCCCAGGCCCTAGGCAGCTGCTTTTTCCACATACAGTCACATTAACAAAAAAATCAAGTATAGTGGAGGAAACCTAACAAGTGAGCATGATCTGCCTCAGTCTGCAGGCTAATTTGCATAGCACGGGATCATAACTTTGTATGATCTAGTTTGCTGACTTACAGCACTGACTGCCTTGAGGTGTCTAGGCTGACAAAAGACAGCTAACATTGTTACACTCAACAATTACAGCTGCAATTCACAGGCATACTCTCTCCAATCTGTCAGTGTGCACCCTATTCAATAGGGATGTGCATGGGGAAAATATTCGGTTCAGTTCGGCATTCAGAACTTCAGAACTTCAGGACTTCGGAACTTCGGCACTTCCGTTCGGCACTTCGAAACTTCGACACTTCTGTACTTCGGCACTTCGAACACATTTGACTCATAACAGCTCTCTGGTGGACTGAAAGTAACCAATCAGTGAGTTATGAGTTATGAATAAAATTACACAGCGTGGGAAAATTCCAAAGAACTTTCCCACGTTGTGTAAAATGACACAGAGTACTCTGATTGGCTGGATTTCAAGCTAACCAATCAGAGTGCTGTGACAGGTAACTGTAGAGACTTACCTGTCAGTCTCTTAATTTACCTGTCAGAGAACTCTGATTGGATGGCTTAAACCAACCAATCAACCAACCAGAGTGCTCTGAGCCTAATTGCAGGGTGGGGCAAGGCTTTATAAGCCTTCCCTCGCCCTGCAGAGCTCAGTCTGTGTGGAGCCCCCCATGGGTGAAGATGGGTTATTTATTTTTGAGCTCTGTTTTTTTTGTTTAGTTTTTTTAAAGTGTGACGGTTATTTTTATTTGGCATTTTTGGGGCTGAAAAAAGAAGATTTTAGAAAAAAGAACAAATCAAATGGTAAGTTTAATTAATTTTTTTTACAGGTACCTTCACTATTTTTAGGTCACCCTGGGGGGGGGGCCGGGGGGAGGACAATAAGTACCCTCCCCCCCCCCTTACTGGTGTTTAGGGCCCCCGCTCACCGCTCAGGGGTGGGGGTCAGGAGGGAGGACAATAGGTATTTATTGGTATTAAGGGCCCACACCCACCACACCCCAATTTAGGTCTTTCAGCCTCTTACAGGGGGAATTAGGGAGTTATCTACTTATTCATTCCTGTCATTCCATTGACTGGCTAAGTAACTTACATTTTATATGAATGTGTGTTACTTGATTGTTGTAAGTGTTGCAAATGCATACAGCTGAATCCTGGCTATGTTTGTATACTTTTTATTTAAACTTGTATACAATGTAACATTCTTCATTCTTCCACTGGGTAGGTATATTAGTACTTCAGCAATACTGTGTTTCGGAACTTCGGCAACTTCAGCAACTTCGGAACTTCGGCACTTCGGAACTTCGACACTTGGGAAATTCAGCAATTTTGGAACTTCGGCAATTCGGTTCTTCAGCAATTTGGACATTCGGAAGTCTCCGAATGTCCGAATTGCCCGAAATTCGTCTGAATTCACTTTCGGAATTACCGTATATACTCGAGTATAAGTCGACCCGAATATAAGCCGAGACCCCTAATTTTAGCACAAAAACTAGGAAAATTATTGACTCGAGTATAAGCCTAGGGTGGGAAATGCAGAAGCTACTGGTAAATTTCTAAATAAAATTAGATCCCAATAAAATTACATTAATCGAATATTTCTTTAGAGTGTGTGTGTATATAATGAATGCAGTGTGTGTGTTTGTGTAGTGTGTGTATATAATGAATGCAGTGTGTATGTGTGTTTGTGTAGTGTGTGTATATAATGAATGCAGTGTGTGTGTGTTTGTGTAGTGTGTGTATATAATGAATGCAGTGTGTGTGTGTTTGTGCAGTGTCTATATAATGAATGCAGAGTGTGTGTGTGTGTTTGTGTGTAGTGTGTGTATTTAATGAATGCAGAGTGTGTGTGTTTGTGTGAATGCAGTGTGTGTGTGTATATAATGAATGCAGTGTGTGTATATAATGCAGAGTGTGTGTGTATATAATGCAGAGTGTGTGTTTGTATGAGTGTGTGTGTATATAATGCAGAGTGTGTGCATTATATACACACACACACACTGCATTATAAACACACACACACACACACACTCTGCATTATATACACACACTCATACAAATACTCTGTGTGTGTGTACATAATGCAGTGTGTGTTTGTGTGAATGCAGAGTGTGTATAGTGTGTGTGTAAACTGGGTGGGGGCAGGGCATTTTAATTATTTTAAAAAAATATATATTATTTTAATATAATTATTTTAATATTTTTGTAATATTATTATTTAAATTATTTTGTCCCCCCTCCCTGCTTGTTGCCTGGCCAGGGAGGGGGGTTGTAACATTCCCTGGTGGTCCAGTGGATGGGCTGTGCAGGGGGGCCTGGAGCAAGCTGTTATTACCTTTGTAGCAGCTCCGGTCAGCTCCCTGTCAGCTCCGTGCAGCTCCCCCGTTCAGCTCACAGTATGCGTGCTGCGCGAAGCGTTGCCACGGTAACCCTTGGCAACTCTCTGACGACCGCGGATCTCACGGGGGGCACTACAAAATTGGCTCGCACAGGGCATCTAAACACCTAAGGCCGGCCCTGGTCTCAGCTCTCTTTATACTGTCACCATACATATCTCTTTATTCATTCTCAAATCTCTTTCTTCTGTCCCTTCTCTCTTTCTTCTGTCCCTTCTCTCTTTATTCCTTCTCTCTTTATTCTGTCTCTTCTCTTTCTGCCACAGCAGGGAGAAGAAACGTGCCAAATCCTGCGACGCTGACGAGATTGCGAGAGCGCAGACTGAGGACATTGTGATCCTTGTCACCATGTAGCACGGTCCTCTAGGGCAAAAACATGCACAGTCCTTGTAATTGCATATACTCCATGCACTTTATTTGAAAATCCACACAGGATACAGCAGTAAATGAAAAACATAACTGTAACAGAAAACCCTATAAACAAAAAACCTAGCTCGTCTGAGCACTAACTCACTTTGTATATCCCTCCCTATCAGGGTTAAACTAACAAAAACATATGGCACCAACCTTACTAGATAGCAACACTCTGCTAGCTAGCCTGTTGCTTTCCTTTCTCCACTCCCAGTGCTCCAAGCCAGCCTTGCCTTGACTGCTTTCCTTTCTGCACTCCCAGTGCTCCAAGCCAGCCTTGCCCTGACTGCTTTCCTTTCTGCACTCCCAGTGCTCCAAGCCAGCCTTGCCCTGACTGCTTCCTTTCTGCACTCCCAGTGCTCCAAGCCAGCCTTGCCCTGACTGCTTCCTTTCTGCACTCCAAGTGCCTAGTCTCCTTGACTCTATCTGGAGAGAACAGCCTCTCTCTCCTACCTGCTTCCTGGGAGGAAGCCAGCAATCCCTCTCCTTTACCTGCCTAGCAGGGAGGAGTTTATTCCCACTGCAACAGCTCATTAACTGCAGCTGAGCAGTGGGTTGGAGACGATCCAAAAAACCCTGGCCTGGATCCATGTCTCCCCAGAAAACCACTAAACTGTGGAGTGGAGCATTGGCCCACCCTTCTCTCCAAATGCTCCACCCCAGGGGCCCATAACTAAGCAAAGCTTTGTGTTGTGCAACACAGAAACTACACGTACTTCCCCTGGGGTTAAAAGGCCTATCTGCCTTCACTTTATCACAACATGCAGCCCCGCGGTGTTCAAAGATCCAGGGAATGTATGGATCTTTGGACATTGCTGGACTGCACATACTCAGCGGCCCTTGGTGATTCAATGGGATCAACAACATACAGATTTAACAAATTACCTGTGGGGCTGTATTAAACCAGAACGCAGGCCGCAATTGGCCCCACGGACAGGACTTTGCACTTGACTGGCCTAATGCATGCATCCATACCCACATACTGCCTAATGCATGCATCCATACACACATACTGTCTAATGCGTGCATCCATACACACATACTGTCTAATGCGTGCATCCAAACACACATACTGCCTAATGCTTGCATCCATACACACATACTGCCTAATGCATGCATCCATACACACACACACACACACTGCTTAATGCATATATTGTACGTTGAATACATAATTTATCGCTGTGATAAATTATGTATTCAATGCATTTGATGAATTTAATTTATAATAAGACTAGCACAGACGGGCACACACTCAGTGACAGTCAAACACTCACAGACACACACTGACACAATTTTATTTTTTGAGTCCAGTGTGGTGTAGCTCCTCACTTCTCTCATCCGCTGTTTAATATGCCGGGGCCAGAATTACATCATATTCCGTCTCCCGGCATCACAGAGAGCACGTGAGGGAGGAGTGAGAAGCTGCAAGAACAGCCTCCCTCGTCACCTACTCTTGCCTGCCTTCTCCTTCCCCCTTTCCATCCGAGCAAGCAGGTCTCTGCTCTGCCATACCTAAAAAGGACAGCTCAGGGGTGTCCTAAGGGGGCCAGATGGCCACTGTGACGGACCGCCTGGCACCCCAACCGGGTACCTCCATCAGTCGCTGCTTCCTAGTACTTGCGAGCACCATAAGCATCGTACTGGAACACCATAACCACCGTAAACCCCACGAACACCCACAGCTTGGTTAGGGTCTCGCTGCCCTCCACCCACTCTTGACTCAAGACCAGGATCCAGCTTCCGGTGGCTAGACCTCTACTAGTCCAGAGAGCGTAGCAAGAACAGCTTTTATTAAAGCTAGTGATTATACTCCGGGGAATATTGTGATATAGCAATCCCCAGAGTGAATGTAGTTCTCCAATCCCCCAAACATGAGCCAAGACTTCATGAAGGGGTAAACAAATCTCAATTTAATGGGAGCCACACTTGACCTTTTATGACAATCCCCATGCAAAGGGTACGCCCACATGGACCTTGTTGAGGACTCCAGCACAAAGACACAGATCAATAAGAGTGATTAAGTGCCCGACACTCTCATAACAAACATACAATCCCTCCTCCTTGCTTGGGAGATAATTGGATCAGTAACTGTACTAATTCTAATCCAATTATCTCCAAGCACAGAAAAAACATACTTATTTAAAACACCCCAAAAGTACCCTAAAAATACATAAAACCCCACAAATGTTACATCCCCTTATGGCCCTGATCTGGATGACCAACATATCCAAAAATCACTCAGATCAGTTCAGAGGTTCAGAAATGTTATGGAAGTCATAGTTTTTACCGACCGCAGGCATGGTCCCATAGCTGAAAGTAGTTCCATAGAATAGCGGCTAAGTGCCGCTGGAGGACCTACCCGGAACCTCAAGGTTTTCATGTCGAAAATAGTTCCACGGCATTAACGGCTAAGTCCTCCTGAAGTCTATTTGCGGTTTTCGTCCATGCGAACAAGATGGCCGCCACCTCGTGGTTGTCCATAGGAATTGCAGCCACCCAGACGAACACTTAGACCACTAAGTGCAACAATGTATCAATTAAGCTTAACAAGCTCCAGGGTGGTCTCCGGTTCGTGTGACTGTTCGGTAAATGACCCATATAGTCCCAATTGCAGGAACAGAGCCTGTTATAAGTCCAAGAGGCACAATTGGTGTTTTCAAATAGGGTTTAACACAGGGGCCATAGTCACAGGGTAGGAGGCTGGCAAACAGGCCCCTCCAAAAGCTAGTGGCGAAGTTTCTTTCGTCACAGCCACCTCCAGGGCCCCATGTGAAAGGCGTCCCTACCTTCGGATGTCTGGAGGATCGGCCCGGTGCTGGGGTGGGGGGAAACAAAAGCCGCTTGCCCAGCATTGTGGCCCAAGACAGGGGTAGCCCTCCAGGAAATATCCGGGTGGGCACCCCCTGCAGGCCAGCGCCCTATGCAAATGCCTAATTCGCCTAACAGTTGCACCGGCTATGGATGCACTGAGAGTTTGCAATTGCTAACTTGTTTCCTCTTTACACCTAGGTGGAATATGCAATTAGAGCCGGATTACCTATTAGGCGACCAAGCCAGTCGAAGAGCCCCTTCCTTGGCCTTGAACTCTGGCTTAAGCCGGTAGGAAAATCTAAAAAATCTCTCTCCTCCACACACAATATTCAGCCACTACACACACACACAACACTCAGTCAACACACACAGGAGCACACCACTCACAGAAAAGAGAGCCAGGGCTCTAAGAGGTGGCTACAAACTGCCACTCTGCCTAGGACTCTGGCTAACCTTAACCCGGCTCTAATGTATGTTTTATGTAGCAGCACGTTGTAATTTTTAACATATAGCATGAAAACCAGATATTACCTAGCATCTGTAGGAGATATTGAAACTTTCAGAAGCTACCAATTACCGGTCGTTTAACGTTACATTTTATAGCATGGAAATAGCTAGTACAATTGCTCACGACAGTGACAGCAATTTTAACGATTACCAACTTGTCGGTAAATGATTGTGATAAGCAACAAATCGCACCCATTGTGTGATATTTGTTCTGTATAACTTTTATTGTCTTTTCATGTGCAATAAAGTGAAGAGAGTAAATTTGTTGGTGATGGATAAGGGTGTACAATGTACATCTATGATTATGGCCATATCTGGCACTGCCTTCCTACATATATTTTTTGCTGTTGATCCAGAAGAAGGTAAACAACAACAACAACAACAACAAAAAACAGTTTGAAGCACTTCCAATTTTGCAACAAACTAGGACTCCAGAATGGCAGTCAGAGTTATCCTTGGATCAAGGAGCTATAACCTCTTCCGTTGAAAAAAAAAATTGAATATTATTTATTGCAAGTATGCATCTAGTTGCTGTTTAAACATCTGTACAGGCATATTTCCACATCCTTATTGTTCTTGGGGTACAAATCCCTTTCCTTTGCCTTAGACTAAATCTTTTTTCTTCCAGTCTCAACACATGACATTCTGTCCTTTGTAAAGTCCTGTTTGTGAATAGATTTCCACACAATGATTTGTATTGGCCCTGGATATATTTGTATAATGTTATCATATCCCCTCTGAGGCAACGTTTTTCTAAACTAAAGAGGTTTAAATTTGCTAACCTTTCTAAACAGCTAAAATGTTCCATTCCTTTTATTAATTTTGTAGCCCGCTGTAGTGGAGATGCAATATTCCCCAGGGTATCTCCGCTTATAGTCCAAGTGAGGCTCAGGAACAAGTAAATAATAAATCCACAGGCAAGGTTTCCAGCAGGTAAAATAACAGCAATATCCCCACAGCAATCCCAATAACTGGACGACACACAGTTTCAGGAGCAGAACTCAAAGCTTTAATCCACAGTCTCCTTTTAAAGCATGCTCCCATGCAAGGGAGGGATTTACACTCATTATTACAGTAGCCAATCCTGTCCTGGTAACCTCCCACACATCTCCTCCCCTCAGCCAGCATCATAATCCCCTTATCCAGTACAGTAATTCCCCCCGTTTCTGGATGTACCCCTAAACATAGGGGTACCTCTTTAAATCCTACATCCCCGGATACCCCTGATCTGGGTGAACAACATATCCAAAAATCACCCAGATCAGACCAGGGGTTCGGGAAATGTATGGAGGGAATAAAATGACCGACCGCACTAACTGAGATAGCCGAATAAGGTTCCATGCGAATGGGCCCTGCGGTCGGTCCTGGCATAAGGGAATAAAATACACGAAAGCCTCTAGCTATAGAGGCTAGGGAGGGTTCGCCTGAATCCCCTCGTTCGGTTCTTTCTATCTACCGAACGAGGGGCCGTTCGGTAGTTAGGAACCGAACGGACCGGGCTTGTGGAGGTCTCAGCGGTGTTCGCCTACTCGAGTGTCCGATTTGAGTTCCAGACACTCGACGGCAAAACACCACTGTTCGGGAGTTTTAAAATGGCCGCCGCCACGTGTTCGTTTGTCGAATGGCGGCCACCCCCGAGAACAAAGGACGGCTACTTACTAGGCAATTACCCGTTCGCAACAATGTTGCAACGGGTAATTGAGGACACACTTCACACAGGGGGGTCTGGTTGTTCGGTAGTTTCATTCGAATGAACTAAGGGAATAAAACTACCGAACAATCAGAGGAATACAGTTCTTTAAAACACATAGAAAACCAGCAGATCACACGAATGCAGTTATTCACAAGACATTTGCAGGACAGCCCAGTGCCATCCGCTACGCCCGCCTTTGCACTCTTTCCATTGCCATAATATCCTTCTTTAGAACAGGTGCCCAAAATTTCACAGCATATTCAAGATGTGGTCTTACCAGTGATTTATAAAGAGGTCCTCGTGACACTAATAACACTAGAGTGGGCCATAATATATTTTCAAATTCAGACAGTCAAAATAGGATTTATTTTCTACGTGACTTGCCATTTTGCACCTGAACCCATTTCCTGATCCTTTAATATAGATAATATATTATATCTCCCTCATACATTTATAAGGATAGTTAACATGAACTATGGGGCTCAGTATGTTTTGCGTCCGGTTACCACAGAGAAGTAAATACTATCTAATTCAGTGCTAGTAGCAATTTTTGAATAGAATAGAGCTCTTTAAACTCCTGAATTTAAAAGAAAACAACAGTTAAAGATAGCAAGTTAAGGCGGGAAGGGAGAGGTGCCTTTCAAAAACTGATGCACAAGCTGGTGGTCTCTCCCCTGTCTGGCAGTTGCAGTTAGTACACCAAATTGATATTTTTCAGGGGAAAAAAAATTCTCTCCTGCTGGGAAATTTGTGTCATCTCATATTTTCATGTGATAGGCCTGTACTACTGTAAGCATCTCTGAGGGCTGCAGTGACCGCATGATACCATGACATTTTGATATGTGTACTTTTTTTTTCAATACATGTGCAGTCTTTTCAAATACATTTTTCTGTGGATTATTTGGGAGTATCTGTGTGTGGACAGAGGTGTAACTAAAAACCATGGGGCCCTCGTGGGAAAATTTCCCTGGGCCCCCCACTCCCATACGTCTACCCCCCGCCAGCACCCCCTACATCTACCCTCACCCTCCCACACATGCAGACAAATTGACACACACATACAGACACACACATACAGACACACACATGAATACACACAGACATACATACAGACTCACATACATACATACAGAGAACACACATACAGACACACACACATACTAAATATTTTAGTTACCCTCCTGTTTCCTGCTTTTAGGTGCAGAAGGGTGACATCGCTGGGTTCCAGTGGTGGCTCAGCCTGATGGGAGTCAGAGTTCCCACTCAGACTCCCTCCTCCATCTTCCACTCTATGATTGCTGGGAGGAGTGACCAGGGCAGTCACTTCCTCCCAGCTCAGTCTGATGTCATCACAGGGGTAACCGAATAATGCGCTAACCGGGCCCCCTGGAAATGCAGCCCTGGCGGTTCTACTGGGCGGCTGGGGCTGCAACACATGACCTGGAATGGCGGGCCTGGTCACAGCTGCAACCCATGTGACCGCGGTAGTTCCGCCACTGTGTGTCGACCTACATGCACCTATTGTGACACATTATCGGTAAGATATATATATACCAACTTGAAAAGATGGAGCAATGTACTCATGTAAAACTTAAAAGATAATATTCTAAATGTGGTTTGGGCTTCTTGGCACGCTATTGTTTTTTTTCACAATTTTCCTATCCCAGGGCGGATTTTTTTTTTTACACAGCTTGTTTCGTTTTGGTCAGAAAATTAAGATTTGACATAGGGTGGGACAACTGAAAACTTCTAAAAATAACATAAAAAATTTCTGTTTGTCCGATAAAAGGGTAATAAAGGAGCAGCAATACTTTATACATTATTTTACTTCTACATTACCGAATTAATATGTTAACTCAAATATCAGGATGGAAATACATGATAGACAGTGATGGCTGAAGCAGGCATTGGGTGCAGACTTACAAGAGATTAGAATTATTGGTTAGCCTGCAAAGTTCAAGACAAAGTCTGATTATTTACTAATGATCCAGAAACAAGTATGGATACTGAACGATGGGTGGGTGGATGGATAGATGGATGTGGTTCAAATGCATACATGCATCTTCTCTGCACATATGGCTATGATGTAACTGATTAGTATGGTGGCCTGATTGCTGCTTCTTTGTGTTAGCTAGTTCTTTCTACTTCTTTTCCCTGTTTTTCATTCTGTCCAATACTACATTCACATCTATAAAATCACTGATTATTATTGTGACCTTATCAATGCTTGATCAAAGTTAATGAGTGACTGCAGGTACTTTAGACTGATTGATTGATTGAACATGATGGATGGACGGACATGCAGCATGCGTCATATGCGTCTATTATATAACTGGTATTGTGACCTAATCACTGCTTGATCAAATATGATAAGCGACTATTGGTCCTTCAAATAAATGACTGAAGATAGATAATAGAAATTTTCAAAACAAATTTATAATAGAAAGTCCTCAATTTGATGATGATGATGATGACGATGAAGATGGAAAGCAGAAAGTTTTTCAGTCTTGGGCATATGCTGGCACTATTTGAGGTTAGTAGAAACTACCCTCCTGATTGGCAGCTGCTGTCCTAGCTGTCTGAATTAAAGCTGAAATTTGACACTGCAGAGATGATGTCTGTTTACTGTATATAATTACATGATTTTATTAAAGACACAGAGGTGAGTATTGCATATCCCTTTCTTTACTGTCCATCAATAGCAGCAAAGAATACAAACAGAATGAAAAAATAATGAATACATAATGACATAGGCTACTCCACGACCAAGTGCCAGTATAATAGCAGGCACCTCCCTAAGCCTTTCCTCTTACTTGAAGATGCGACACACCACTACAAAAAAGTCAGCAAAACAGGAAACCAGCAGACGTAATCCATTAGCAAATGAAACGTTGAAAGTCCATACAGTTAAATCACAACCACAAAACCAATAACAGGAAACAAATCCAGAACAGCAATGAAACAGCTCCAACCAAGAAGACGCTCCTCAAAGACAAACAAATGAACATCGAACAGGTCCAGATCAGGCTGTGAAAACATAAATGAACAGGAGCCCAAGGGTTAAATCGTACATAAACCAACATAAAGGCCAAATAAACTTATAGGCCTCCATCCCAAAATGGTCAACAGTCCACACCCCAAAAGACTAAACCGGTATAACCAACCAAAAACTCTCGATTATACAATGCCCCACTTACCATACCATCAAGTCCAATCTAGAACAAACAGCATGGGGGGAGTGGGGAAATACACAGAAGTAACAAGAGATCTGAATTAGAAGGCCAGGCATTGATAAAAGACAAGACAGAAACATGCCAAGTAGAGGAATAATGAGGCCTGTGTGAATGGGTGCATAGAAGGTGACACACCAAAAGGTGTTGGCCTGCGGGACAACCATCAAAACCTTGATTGGCCAACAATATAGCCGATACAGGTTGATCATCTGATAAGCCCTAAAGGCTTTAAAGAATCGCGGTCACAGGGGCTGAAACGGGATCCACGTCCTTAGCCAGGCACCAGCCAGCCCAAGATCACCGAGCTGACCCATATGATCGTCTATTGCCGGGAAGCCCATGCGTCCGCCAACAATTGTTGAGTAGTTTCCGAAACTCCATGGACCTCCTAGGGTCACCTGATATCCAAAAGTTGGAGTGCGCTAGCAATTGCACTGGAGTCAGGATCTTCTCTGAGTACTCTGAAAAAATATACAGTATATAGTGCAGACTATCTGTATATACAGGGTATGCAAAATTTAAAATATATCTGGGGATCAACTCACATGGACCAGAGCCCTATCACCCCTGGCTCTGGGTTTGAATCGCTCCAATGGAGACGACTAAACCCACAGTATAGCAAAACAGGATACTCTTCTGAATCAGATGTAATATCTAGGCAGTATAAACAAATAGAGAGGCAGGAGCCCAAATTGAATAGTATCAAACACAGTATTTATTTAAGCAAAAGGTTAAAAACTCTTACTTGAAGTAGTGGGTTTGCCAGCAATAAACCCACAACTAGATAATCAGGAAATTACACACAGAAAATGATAAAGCTTAGACACGTTCTGGTT